TGACTATAGCCAAGCTATGAGGGGTTTGAGCCAGGAAGCTCTTGACGGCAGCTTGAACCAAAATGTGGTGAGTGGAGGTCAGAATGAAAGAAGGTGGGGCATCCTTGCTACATGGCTCTTTAGGTAGGTAGGAGCCGTGGGAAGAAGAGGAGAATCAGATCTGAAATCAGATCTCCTGAGAAGTGCCTGCCCTTGCCCTGATCAGAGGACACAGTTACCCACTAAGCTTCAGAGGGGATGGATCTTCGCCTCTGCAGTTCAGGAAGGCCATGTGGGGACTCGGGTCCTGCTGTTCATCACTTTCCTTGGCAGGCATGGTTTAATGGTGTAGCCATTCACTCCCAGCAGGCATAAATCCTTTTTCCCACAAGAGGATATTGGCTGGATGTTACGTTTATAGGACTAAAGGAGCAGCTGGCGATGTCGGATTCAAGGCAAGTAGGTTGTCTTGGCCATCCTAGTTAGCAGATGGCCAGGACTTGATAGATGGAAGATTATCAGGATCCAAGTCAAGGGCCAAATGGCACGGTGGACTGGAAAAGTAGATGGAGGCAGATACCTGAATGCAGACGCGTACAGTCTGCCGGGGCCTCTCTGCTTCCATTTCATCTTGCATCCAGCAGGAGAGACCACAGCTCCTCCTAAGGGCCTGGATTCCAGACACAGCTCTAGACATGATGGATAATGCAGTTATGAAACTGATAGTTGGTTCAGTCCTTAACATGGTCTATTTTTTGGAAAGAGAATATTATGAAGATTAGATTTCATCAGGCATTCCTATGAATCTGGCCTTTTGCCCAAAGCTACGTGTCACAGTTTCCTGTATTGCTAATTTCTCTGTGTAGTTTGTTATATCTAAAGACAACTTAAAGGCTTTAATTCAGAGCCCTCTGTCATGGGCATGCTGTCCTTTTGAAGATGACTAATGCCAGGAAAGCTGCTCCGAAATGGAAGGGCCAGGAGCTAAGTTTTGCTGTGATAGCACAGACCGCGGGGGGGGGGGGGGGGTTCCCATTTCTTCGAGGTCATTTTAAGCTCATTTGTGCAATTGCCACCTTCTCAGTATTACTGTGTAACTCCTTTGATCTCAGAGTGGAAGGTGGCAAATTTCAAGAGCCAGGAAAGCTCCTCGTCTAGGTTTAAAAGGAGCAGCATATTATGAAATTGAGTGGATGTCAAATAATAAAACATAAATTTGGATCTTTTGAAATGTGAGCTCAAGTAGGTATTACGTTTAGAGCCGAGTACATTGAGAAGTTCAGGGATGAAATTGCTGTTGTTTGACATTCATTGAAATGTGACCGTTTGAGTCAGGTTGTTGCCCAGTCACCTCCATCCCTCTTGAATGCTGCATTTGGATTCAGCAGGACACTCCAGCTTTGCACATGTAATCCTCAGGACGGCATGGCGAAATCATGTCCCCGTTTTACAGGTGAGGACACTGAAACTGTAAGGTTCGTCCCTGACTCAGAATTTCATTTTCCCCCCACCCCTTGGCCCTCTCTACTCTGGATGGAGACCAGAATGTAAATACGGGTTGTGCTCAAACAGCCTTCTTCACTGTAGGCATATTTCAAAGCTGTCTAAATTGCTTAGCTTATATTCGTGATTTTTTTTTTTTAAGTGGCAAATTGATTGAAACAGTAAATGGAAGGGATTTATCAGTGAGGGTTGTGCCTTTACTGGAACAAACCCACTTAGTAGCATGCTATTTGGATTTTCACCCTGAGTTTTGGAACCAAGACACAGACTGGAGAGTAAGCTCAGTATTATTAGTGAGTTACTTGGACCAGCCAATAATCTCTGTTATTTTCTCCCCTTCTCCTGATACATCTTCTCAATCCCAGTCATGGAAACTAGCCACGAGGGGTTGTAGAGGTGAATGGGCTTTGTAGAAGGTGTTTTCATGTATGGACTTGCTTAGAGTCTGGGGTCAGGCCCTTAAGCTTTAGTAAGACCAGACCTGAGGAATCAGACATGGAGATACTGTAGCCAGCGGTGGTCAGAAAGTAAACCTGGATTAGTTTGCCTGGTTATTTTCCTCTCACATGTGATTGGTGGGCATAAGTCATGGGAGGTTAGGAACATTTTCTTTGAGTTTTCTCATCATCAAATAAGACTGAATACATTAAAGGGTCCCCCTGATTAGAAAATATCCACAATTGGGATTGGAAATTAAATTATCTGTGAAATACTTCCATGGTAGAGGAGGGGTAACATGGTTTTTGTGAAACACATGATCAGTTGGGTTGATGGCAAATGCTGTGTCTTGGTATGTGGACTCTCACTGAGAAACCGTTATGACAAATCATAAACAAAAATTATTGGCATCATAATCTGTCCCCAGTCTTCCACTTCTACACATTCTAGAAACTCTACAGGTAAACTTTATGCCGTAACAAATGATCCAAATTAGTTAACACAACAATTAGTGCTTTGTGACTGTAGGTTCGATGGTCAGTTCTTCTGATTGGGACCAGTTTGGGTGGTCTCTGCAGACTTGGGGTAGTTCTTCTGAGGCGGGTGACTCTGGAATGACCTCAGCTGGGACTGCCTGTCTGTTCCATATCATCTCCCCCTCCAGGGGGCTAGCCTGGGATTCTTAGGGTGGTCTCAGAATTTCAAAGAATAACAAGAGAGGATAAACCTCTGCCAGGCAGGCCTTTGTAAACTGCTCCCTACATCGTGTTTGCTAATGTCCCACTGGCCAAAGCAGGTCATGTGGTCAAAGCCAGTTTCAAAGAAGGGAGCCATTGATCTACATTCTTGATGGGAAGAGTAGCTGAGTCAAATCGAAGAGGTGCGTGTGACGGGGAGGGCGGGAGTTTGTGGCTCTTTTGCCATTTCCCACAGATGTGAGAGTAGCTACCGGTGGTTGAACTGGCCTAAACTTCTCTGCCTGACTGAATCTGGAGAAGGAAGACCGCATTTTTGTCTCTGACTTCAGTGTGGTATGGGATATTTCTCTCAGCTCTTTCTTTATTCTTTCACTTTGGAAACTTGGCCACGTTGACTGGTAGACTCACTTATCTTGCATTCTTAAGTTGTGATTTCATTTTTGACCATGTTTTTAAAATGTTGGTAAGTATTTGCTATGGTAAATATGATTGTTTCATTTTGGTGTATTTTTTGTGATCGTATGCCTTTGAGGAATGTTTAGTGCTCCTCCAGTACATTAAAGCCCTGGCTAGGGCTTCCTGTCAGGCAATTTAGAGGTATGCCAATGCCAACTCCCAGAATGCCACCTTGGCGATCTGATACATACACAGTTCCTCGTCACTTACCCTTTTTAAAGTACCTGTGGTGTTTACGACGTAGTACCAAATTCCACCTCACTTTATTAGTCTGTAAACGTAACACCATACATAATGTGTCTGTATATGTTTATTCAAACCTGTGTTTGAATTTAGTCATAACTCAGGGCTCCAGACATTAATAGGTAATCGCTGGGACCGCATAGAGCACGTAACCCAAGTTTCTCAACCTCAACTTCTGCCCCATTGACACCTTGGGCCGGATAATTTCTTGCCGTGGGGGCTATTCTGAACATTATGGAATTTTTAGCAGCAATTTTTAGGTAGAGGACCCTGCCTCTATCCTTGTGATTCTAGTAGCCCCTCCCCCTTCAGCCCTACTTATGACAGCCAACAATGTCTACAGTCATGGCCTGATGTCCCATGGATGGGAGTGGGGAGTGGGAGATAGGTAAAATCTGTCTGCAGTTGAGAACCACTACTCTGACTTGGAGATGCTGAAGCAGAAAAGAGAAAGAAATGCATGAAGTGCGGTTATTGTCGGAGAGCAAACTAGGAGCAGAACCCGATGGACCATTTGTAAGGGGCAGAAGGAATATGGAAAGTTACCTTCAAATTTTCACCTAAGATGGCTCTGAATTAACTAGGAGATATCAAGTTGGGTCTTGCTACGTGCTGAAAGGTTCACCAATATCTCAACTTCCTTATGTTAAAAATGGATTAAATAGAAATACTACTTCTGAAAAAAAAATTTCAGGAGATATGCTGACCACAGAGAATAGATTTTGAGAAACTATTTGGGAAGAGTCAGTCATCCATAAAAGTAAAGAAAATTATATCAAGACCCACTCGATATGCATCATTTAAGGTCATAAATGATAGAATGAATGTCAGTCTCCCTGCATCTATGCCTTGCTTGCTTCCTGAATGGCTCTCCACTCCTGGATTATTTTGGACTAAAATCTAGATATCATTTCATTTCATTTGTAAATATTTCAATAATGTGTCTGAAAGAAAGTACCTCAATACCAAAATCACAGTATGCTGGTGGAATTGTAGCCTTCTGGAAGGGGCATGGATGAGAATTTGTACTGAGTAATATTAGCAAGTTAGGGAAAGAATAGGTAAGAGGCTTGACTTCTGGGGGAATTAAAAACCCCAGGGAGAAATGAAGTTGGGAGACACTGTCTCTTCAGGCTCCCCTCCTGTTGTGTCCTCCCCTCTCTTGCTTTGACTCTTAGAGATTCCTCTTTTAGTATGAGGTAAAACACAGGAGACTGGGAGCCTAAGAAAGAAGAGGAGGCTGGTAGGGCACAGATCCATTTTCTAAGAAGGAGAGGAAAAAAAAAAACCACAACACAAGAAGGTATTGAAATATTCAGTCAATGATGGATTACTCTTTGATGACTTTCAATGACTTTTTAGCAGATCCGGGTGTACTTTTAAAAAAACAAAAGCGAAAGAAAAGTCTTACAGTTGCTTTTTAAGATTTTACTGGGACTGTGGTATTTCTCTCCCATTCTGATATATTCTGAGAAGTTTCTTTCTTTTGATTTAGACTTCCTCCCTTGATTTCATGATGTCATAAATCTTTTGTGTTTGGTGAGAGCCGTGGTCTATGTAAGACCTACATAGCCCACTAGATAACATCTATTTCCACCCCCCCTTCTCTTCGCAAGATTAAACTGAGGCTGTTGTGTCTGATGCTAGAACAGATTTAACCAATCATGTTTCCTTTACATGTAGGTCAGTCCAAGGGACAATTCCGCACTGGATCCTATTATCCATGGGTTGAAGGGCGTCGTACATCATGGTAAGTAAGCCACGTATGCTTCTTTTTACTGGGATATGAACAGCTAAGGTCTTTACCTAAAGGAATGGTGTTATCTTGTAGAGGACAGAGGGTGACACCCATTCTTCACCCACTGATGTTGAAGGGCATGAGAGCCATTATTTGATGGGTAAAGAGCACGCCCATTTATTACCTGCAAAGGGATCTGGGTTAACAGTAAGCAATTTGTTTCTCTTCAGGTACCACTTTGAATGCATACGTTATCAATCAAAGCACCCAAAGAGCCACCATTGGTATGCGCCGAGCCTGCCACTGTCTTATGTCTCCCTTAAAAATATTCTTCTTTCATCTATCTTTGCATTAATAAATTTCTTGATTTGCCTCTCAGATTTCGGGTGAAAAAATTTTAAGTAGCTGTGACAAGTCATTAAACTTGGCTGCATGTGAGCAAGCATCACCAGCTCCTAGCATGGAAAAAGCTAGGCCGTGTGCTGTGTAGCAGGCGCCGTATCCCCAGGCATAAAACTGGGAGATAAAGTAAGATAAATGGGTTCTGTCTTTCCCAACTGGTTTTTATTGGAGGAATTTCCCTGCAACTTTATTATTGGATCCGCATCATTACCTATGACATCAAGATCCTCTGATTTCAAAAGTACCCTTGTCGCAGGGAGGTGCGGAGTCTTAGAGGTACTGTAATGATTTGCGAAGTTTTAATCATCTAATTAGAATTCCAAAGACATTGACAGAAATAGCATTAGTAACCATAATAAATCTCCCCTTCATCTCCACAGCTGTGATAAAACATCTTCACACCTTTCTGGGAGGATTGTCTTTCCACATTAGCCGACTCAGCAGAGCTTCCCAGACCTCTTCCCCCATTTCTCTCAGGGAAGCTAAAACCAGTTGTCAGCGTGCAGTGGAAGTGAGTAGGATTTGGGATGTAATCGTCCTGCTCTTAGAACCATTCAGTCATGCAGCAGGTAACAGTAATACAGTGAGTAAAAGTAGGAAGATGGTGTGGCCGAAGACACCCACCTAGAGGTTTTCATGGGTGGCAGGTTTCCACGGCTTCCTCTCAGTTTCAGTTTGTGTCTCGAAGCGAAGGCCTCACGCAGAGCTGGATTAGGCTGTGTGGCCAGAGAACAGGGCACCTTTACCCAAACTGTTTCTGCCTGAATGTTTGTGCTTTGCTGTTGGTAACAGCGGGGGTGGTTTTGGACAGTAAGCATATTGGCTTTGTACTCTGGGCAGCCTCGAAAGTGCAAAGCAAGCTGGCAACGCGTTGTGCATTCTGAGCTCCTTTCCCAGAAGATCCCCTTGGGTACCGAGTCGGTCAAACTCCTTCCAGAAATTCATAGTGTAGACTGAGTTTGGGGGCTTGAAATGTAGTAAATGATGAATAGATCTTCCTTCCCCACGAACTTTTCGTCCTGTTTAAAAACAAACACACTGGCGCCTGGGTGGCTCAGTTGTTTAAGCCACTGCCTTCAGCTCGGGTCGTGATCCTAGGGTCCTTGGATCGAGTCCAGCATCGGGCTCCTTGCTCTCAGCGGGGAGCTTGCTTCCCCCTCCCTCTGCCTGCCTCTCTGCCTGCTTGTGCTCTCACTTTCTGACAAATGAATAAAATCGTTATAAAATATAATAAAAACAGGGGTGCCTGGGTGGCTCAGTGGGTTAAGCCTCTGCCTTCGGCTCAGGTCATGATCTCAGGGTCCTGGGATCGAGCCCCACATCGGGCTCTCTGCTCAGCAGGGAGCCTGCTTCCCCCTGTCTCTCTCTCTCTGCCTGCTGCTCCACCTACTTCTGATCTCTGTCTGTCAAATAAATAAATAAAATCTTTAAATATATATATATATAAACAAACACACCATGGAGAGTTCTAGAATCTTCAAAATAAGTACCAATTCTTTGGTCTGCAAGGAAGCATTCCACCAGCTATGGCATTTAAGTAGATCTGTGTGTTCTTATCTCCACAATTATAATTGAAGGAAATCCCATATGTTAAAAGTAAGCAGAAGCTTCTACCAGCTCCCAGATCCCAAAATCTCTGTAAACTCACTGGGTAGTCATCATTTAGTTTATGCGCTCTGTGCTAGCATAATCGTGTTATCCTTGCTCATTATCCATAGAGCAAGGCTGTTCTGTGTACGCTCTTCTATGTTTACTGGCACAGGGAGGATGGCAGAGATGTCCTGGGATGTGATTTCAACACTACTTCCTAGTGGAGAAGTCAAAGGAGACCTATCAGAAATAATTCCCTGCAAAAGGGAGTTTACGTACTTAGACAGCAAAAAAGAGTGGCAGGCCCCCTGTGTGTGATTGAGAGACGCAGGGAGGTGTCTGGAAGGGAGGTGAGGTGAGGTGAGGGGCTGCCTCTCTTTTCCTCCAGCCTGCCTGGAGTGCTGTCCCTCCCAGCTTTTGCATTTACTGTTTCTGCGGCTTCTGTCCAGAAGGTTCTTACCTCAGCTCATCATGAGAGTGTCTCCCTTTATCCTTTTAGGTCTCAGTTCAGATTTTAGCCTCCTCAGACAGTTCTTTCTTTATTATCCTGTTAAATGCCCCACCCGCTCCCCACTCCCGTGATTCCCTGTCACGTCATCCTAAGTTACTTTCTTCGAACCCCTAAAAAGTATCTGAAATAACTGTGTGTTTTATTTACTCATGTGTCACCTACTAAACCATCAGCTTCGTGAGGGCAAGACCTCCTGCATGTGTGGCCAATGACAGATGCTCCATAAATGTTAGCCAAGTCAGTGAGTCAGATAAACCTACAAATAAGTGAAAATACAAAACTGGGAGAAGAGGAGGAGAAACCAAAGGCCACTTGAGTTTTGCTTTGACTGGGAAGAGAAGGGAATATGAGAACATCTTGGAAACCTGACTTTGTCCCCGCCCCCAGTTCTCAGGCTGTTGCTGACTTCCATTGTGATAACCATCCTCTCTTTCATCATTCTTCCAACAGAGAGTGAACATTTGAAATGGCTAAAACAACTTTTGTTGGAACTAGAAGCATCTTCAAGTTGAAGGTCCTGTGAGGGAATTGAATGATCTGTTAATTTGATGGGACATAAATAATCGTGCCCTTCACGGAATCTCTGGCTTGGAAATGATGATAGAAATGTGTAAAAAGGAAAAAATCAATATGGCTTTCTGTTATAGGTCAGAATTGGTTTTATTTCGTCAGCTCTGGGAGCCATATCTTAGAATATTAATTCCTCATTAAGCGAAAGTTTTGTGGGTTTTTTTTTATTATTATTAATAGGAAAAATCTTGCACATTCTTTCAGCTGAAATGACAATAAGAAGTCTGGTCACCCCTGCAGTCGTACTTGGCATATGGTCATCAGGGGCCTCTGTGAGGCAGACAGCAAGGTGGGGTTTTCAGTGCAGGTGAATTTGTTGGCAGAGAGGGCTAAAGAGGAGAGGAAAGAAGCAGGGCCGTGTGGGGACAGGGTCAGCACCGCAGTACAGATCTGATATCTCCAAATGGGGAAGGAATCTAGGAGGACTGCCTGAAGGCAGCTCTCAGGATGTCCTGGCCAGCTTCCTGAAGCACCTCAGGGCCAAGACGGCCTGTAAGAGGTGTCCTGTGTTGGGTTCCCCTGCCATGTGGAGTCACAGGCTAGAGCGTCCCATCAAGACCAGATGCCATGAGAACACCGTGTTAAGCCTTGAAGGGGCAGAAGCTATCGGCTGGCTGCTGACCTGGCTCCTCGTGACAGCTTGTCTCTGGAAGGAAGATCTTGGGCATGTACCTCCCTTGGCTGGCATGGAGGTTCCTATCTTCCTTCCTAATCCCATTTCCAAAGAGGTTTTTATTGGGTCCCCTCACTCTTAAAATGCTCACAGATTCTTAGAAACAGTGCTTGGTCCTCTCATGCATATTTAGTAAGTGCCTCATCAAGGCAGACCACGAAGCTAGGCAGACGGAACACACAGCAGACCTAGAGCTGCCCTCCTCGCATTTATAAAGTCTCTGGGGACACACACAGTTAAGCATTGCCATTGTGATGAAGAGTGGGGAACAGCAGGTTTAACTCAGACTGGGGCGGTGTGGAGGCGGCACCTCAGGCAAAGTGACCACTGAGACCTCCAGAGTGCATAGAGACCATGCAGGAGGAGAAGTGAGGGGTCAAGCTTTCAGGCAGCACCATAGTCGATGGAGGTCTCTGGTGGTGGAAGTGCATGGAGCTTGTTTGAGGCTCTACGCTCGCCAACATGGCGTCTGTGCTGCCGGCGAGAGAGATCTAGAAACCTCTTGGCAAGCATGAAGTGTTGTTTCTTATGTGTTCGTGTTCCCATGTAAATTGTGATTTTTACAAACTTGAGAGCCATGAAGAAATATAAATAGAATGGAGAGATGTGATTTGCCATTGATTCTGGTCCCATCTATCCATTGAGCATAGATGGAAGCACTAAAATGTGTGTCGTTGGCTGTTTTGCTTACACACTCCCAAGACCCACCGTGGAGGAAAGATCTAGGGAGAAACTTTGAATCCTAGTCATAGCATGGACTTGGTCATTTACAGTGCTTTTTGTATTCAGCAACCAGCACTTAGTAGAAGTCACACCTAATAGAAATACTGGTTCCAAAAAAACAGTCTAGTTCTTTTTTTTTTTTTAACCCATTTAAGGGGAAAAAACCCAGCTTGTATGTACATTGGTGTAGAAACACAACCATCCCTGACAGTTAGTTTTACCTAATTGACTGATGCTCAGAAATATACATTATATCCTATGTCAATTAAGAAGTTTTGTGGTTTTTTTTTTTTTACTTTCACATTTTTGGATTACCTGCTTTTCTTTTCTTTTTTTATAATATCCACCCAAAGAAAATCTAGCAGGCTGTTTGTGTACATATTCTAGAGTATCGTGAAAGTGCATCAAAACCCAAACCACTCCTTCTTGTCCATCATCTAAGAGAGACCCGTGTTTGTGTTTTTTTTTAAGATTTTATTTATTTATTTGACAGAGAGAGAGATCACAAGTAGGCAGAGAGGCAGGCAGAGAGAGGGGGAAGCA